GAGCAGCCGAGAGGACACGGAAGGATGATGAATGGGGGCTGGCAGCCCTAGAGGAGGCAGAACGTGAGGGAGAAGGATAATAGGGGAGGGTGGCCTGCAGTAGGCAGGCGACACCCATACTGACACTGGCAACAAGGAGGGCTTATAAAGGCCCAAAAGCCCTACGCAACTAGGCGGCCTGGGGCGAGGAAAAGGTTCAGAATGGCCAAAGATGGGATTAGGGACTAATAGGGGCTTCTGCCCAAGAATCGGGGTCTGTCATAGCCGAAAGGCTCGGTATGGACGTTAAACCTGATTATAATAATAATAATAATAATAAGGCATTAGCTCCGTGGGTCAGATCCATTAATCCGTCAAATACCCCCAAAGCGGCCCTGAGGGATGCCAGTTGGTTTGGACGTTGGCAACATGCTTATCCAAGACCACCGCATGTCGCGGTCGTGAAGTGGAAAAGCTTGAAGACTCCTGCTGTGTTGCCATTAACTACGGAGGAATTCCCAACCAGTCAGGAACTTGCCACCGATTACCTGCAAACGCCGTATAGGGTCTTCCCAAACGACGAACATGAGGGCGGTGATGCATCTAAAGCTCGAGATGCTATTCTTCGTGAAATGGTTGCATTGCGACTTTCGCACGGATTCCAAATCGTGGTTGGGAGTGCTGTAGCAGAAGCTTCTGGGCAGTATGCGTTAGAATCGCTGAATGTCTTTGATCCGCGGGGCCTTGGAAGAGACGAAGCAACCATATTTCTTTCCAAGGGTAATGTCATTCATCGACTAGTGTGCGTCGCTGGTGGGGAGATTGAAGTTACGAAATTTACCCGTCTGACTCCATCTCCTTCACCGTTCGAGAAAAGAGACACTTCGACCTATACGGCCGCCATCCGGACGATTTTGAGCAAGGAGTACGAGTTGAGCAACGTGCAACTGCAATCATCCACCGAAGAATACAACTGGAACTATGCCGATAATTATCTTGCGGGTCACCGCGACCATTTGACGAACCCAACAAAGCAGCTCCGGTTCTGGCGGACTCGCTATGTGCTCATACCCATGCATCTCCCAGCGAATTCCCGACGCCACATGCACCAGTTCAATGAGGACAATGAGGAAGAGATCCACCTACTCGGCATTAGCCAACTGACACACCTGTGGCAGCGGCATAAATACGTTCCACCGGAGGAGAAGCGTTTCCAGACTACAGCGCGGAAAAAGAAGGATCAGAACCCGTTGAATATCATGTACCAAACGCGAAATCCTTCAGAGGTCGTTGCTGCTGAGCTTGACAGGGTCTTGCTGACTGATCCCGGACTTGACAATCCGCCTGCGCAGCTCTTACCAGACTCTGAGTTGCTCGAAAGGTCTAATATCAGCTTGTCGTCATTGGCGCAGCTGATACAGAGCGACAAGGGCGTTCGCATGATGGACAGAAGGTGGCATTGGCGATTGCACTACAACTGCTTTATCGGCTCCGAGTTCACGACCTGGCTATTGCAGAACTTTAAGGATATCGACACCCGGGAGGAAGCCGTCGAGTTTGGAAACGAGCTCATGAAGCACGGCCTCTTCCAGCACGTCGAGCAGAGGCATAACTTTAGGGATGGGAATTACTTCTACCAGATTGCTGCTGAGTATCGAGTCGCGCGACCGCCCGAGTCTCGGAGTGGCTGGTTTCCTGCACGAAAACCAGAGAAATCGGTCCCGTCGACCCCGTCAGGCGAGACAGCGAAAGATGCTCCCAGTGGGGAACATACGAGGTCGGATAGTAGGGATGAGGCGGCTACGTCGGTGACAAACACGCCGTCAAAGTCCAAAAATAAAGTGGCGATAATGCTCTCGAAGTCGATGAAGTATGATGTTGATCCCCGAAAACGCTCGCATCGGCCGGAAGTTATCGATCTCCATTATGACAGGCTACACAATCCCGATAACTGTTTCCATATCGAACTGAGCTGGATGAACGCGACGCCAAAACTCATCGAAGATGCGGTCGTATCTTGGGCTGCGACTGCGGAGAAGTACGGGTTGAAACTTGTTCAGGTGCCGATTGCAGAGGCCTCAGCCATCGTTAAAATGCAACCTTTCAGGAAGCTTTATCGGGTGAAGCTCAAGGTCGAGCCTCCAGAACCGCCGGCTCCTCTGTCATTCAACGCAACGTCCTTCTCGCAGCAAGGAAAACCGGACAAGCATTACTACCAGAAAGCCATCTTGAAGAAGTTTGACTTTGTTCTCGACTTCGAAGCGGCGTCTGACTTCCCCCCGGACGTCGAGGTGTTCTATTCCTGGGGCAAGCCCGATTATCGCTATCCACAATATATTCACCGGTCTGGGTGTCTTCTTGCTCAAATTTCGGACGAGGGAGATTTGCTGTTCCTCGCAAACCGGCTGTTCAGCACCAAGGGGGCCGGTCGAGACAAGTTCGATCGTGGGGACCGCAACGAGCAGTATCATCGACCGCGAGCGGGCACCTACACGTATGATCCGATGTTCTCGCCGCGTCTGTCGCCTGTCGTACGTCCCGTGCCGGAACCAAACGTCAATGCTGGGCCTGGAGGGATTAATGCATCGAACACGATTGACACTGCAAATCTCTACCGCACTCCGGAGTACCTGAAGAACCAGGTTGAGGAGTTCTGCAACGACGAAGTGCGCCTGCAGCAGTTCTACAACGAGGTGCAGGTACGGCCGCTCTCGACGCGAGTCGGACCGACGGTGCCGCCGTCGACGTCGTCGACGATGGAATCCTCCATTCCGTCTCTGGAGTTGCCCGCCAGTGTAGTCGCGCATCACTACTCGTCAGCGGCTGTGGAATCTGAGAACAACAACAACAATAACAACAATCCACTAATGGAAGCAGCAAACACGTCTATTGATCCGAGGACCACACCGACGATGGCACCCCAGCGAGACTCGGCCAAAGACGGTCCCCGAAGTGGCGACCTGAAACCTGTACACTGAGAGCTAACCTTTCGACTGAATTAATGAATTAATTGATACCCGCTATGCGAGGAGGAGTCATGATTTATCGTTGTCTTTTCTTGAGTTTTATTTATTATTATTATTACTTTTTTTTTGGTTCACACAAAAGTTACTTTTATCTCTGAACGAATTGTTATTCTTATCTGTATGAATATGAAAAAATGAACATATAAATGATGATATAAAAGCATGAACATGTTATGATATGATATGATATGAGTGAGTATGTATGGGCATGAATAGGGCAGATAATTTATATTTAGCAATAGAGAAAAGAAAAGGAAATAAAAGTGTATTTATTATCTGTTCTATAGAGTACTGGTCCTTGTACCTACTATAATAGTAAAAAAAAAGTCATGTTCATTCCATTGTTCCTCGTTGTATGCTGTCGCAGGTAAATGAATAAGCATACAGACCAGTAAGAGATATATATCTTTAGAAACCTAAACCAAGCTACATCCACGCATCTCTTTAATCCAATCCAATCAATCAATCAGTCAGTTCTGACTTCTTCCCGCCCAACCTCCCGCAAAAACCGATAGTACCTTGCCGCTTTCCGCCTCCTCCACTTCTTACCGTAGACAATCATAGGGATAGCCGCCCCCATGGACAGCAGCACGCAGAGGCCAAAGAAGACAAACGGCCAGCCGTACCCCGCTGCGTTGATGAAGGGTTGCACCGAGTAGAGAGTAGGAGATGGCGAAGTTGATGGTGGAGGAGCACATGGCGAGGAGGACGACGAGGTCGCGTGAAATCTTGCCCACAAAAAAAATGTCAGTGATGGCTTGGTGGGATGCTAAGGGGGCTGCAGGCATACACCAGGAAAACACTCCATCGCATAAGCAGTCAGTCACGATAGAGCAGGCAGAGAGAGACCTGATTGATTAATGGGCGATCATGGCTCCGATACCGACCGATAGCGACAGTCATCCAGGACAGACCCCTTTCCGCACCACCCCAGCCGTACAGTACATACAGCATGTATCCAACAGCGGCGTAGACGGCGCAGATGGGAAGCATGTATGTACAGTACTGTACAGACGCATCTCGGGCTCCTTGATTGATGCCTGCGTTGCGGCGGGCCAGGGCAATGACCAGCTAGCTGGTCGCTGAGGACGCCGCCGGTGGCCCAGCCGAGGACGTTGCCCACCAGACCAGCGCGGCGAGGAAGATCAGCCCTGTCTGTCGCTGTTGTGCTCCAGTTGTACATACATAGGGCGGGGAGGTCATGATTTCGGAGATGGTATGTATGGTGTTGAAGGAGACGGAGATGATGCCGGCGGTGCAGCCGAGGCGAAGATGAAGCCGGACTGCAGGCACTGGTAAGTATGCACCAGATTGTGAAGTCTAGTATTCTTACAATAACGACGTTGGGGAATGACCAGAGGGAAAACGGTCACAGAAGTACTGCCAGAACGTCGTCTTGTTCTGCGGGTAGGACACCCACAGACTGAGCGTTTGGAGGTATGTTCTCTTTGGGAAGGCGTTGACAAACCCCGTCTCATGATTCGGGGGATTTGTCCGCACAATGTTCGTCTTGTTCGACTTGTTCGACTTGTTGTCGTCGACAATGGATGATCGGGCTGCCGACTCGCCCGAGTCGTCTGCCGCAGCGCCAGGGCTGTTGGGCTGTGTTGAGAAGAACAGAAAGCGAGGGAAAAGCGTCTCCTCGAATTCGAGGTGAAAAAGAAGAGCAGCAAGACGTCGGCATCGATGATGGCGACGATGTATGTACTGGCTCCAGCGCCAGCCGATACTATCGCGATGCTCCCGCCGGTAATCAAGCCCAGGCTGAACATAAACAATATATTAGTTAGTAACGGGTCCTTGAACTAGTCGAATCTAGAATCTAGCACACTCACATCGAACCAAGCTGCTGGCCAAAGAGATAGACAGAAAGCATCCTGCCGCGATCATACACGAAGAACATATCAAAGACTTGCCCTCTTTATTAGCATGCAAAAATCAAATGCATGAAATGCACCAAATGCATGAGATGAGACGTACTGCAAGCTGAATAAATAACCGCCTGATACGCACTCGTCCCAAGGCCATTCAAGACCATGCTCGTCATCCACTGACTGCCCCGTATGTACCATTGAACTTTCCCAGCCGTCTAGACGCCCACACACATGCAGAGGACTGTCGTGGCGAGGAAGACGAATCGGCGGCCGATTTTGTTTGCGGTGGGAATCCACCAGATGTTGACGAAGCCTGTCGATCGATGTAGGTACGTACCAAGAGCGCGAGCAGGAATAGCTGGTAATACTTTTTCCATGTGGGCCATTTCTGAGGAAGATCTGTCAGCTGCTGTACAGTACAGTACATACATACAGTACAGGTAGAGAGTGTGTGTGAGAGTCTTACCAACGGGGTCTCCGCCACAGGGAGTCGGCTGCAGAATGAGGACAATATCCGAAGTGCCAGCGCCAGCGTGCGAGAGGTTTAGCGATTTCCCAACTAATTACAAGGCAGATAGATTAGTTAGCAACAATGCCTCTATCTTCTGAAAATAATCAGACTGGAATATACTACCGTCCACGAGCAGCTCGGTGCCGGGCACTGGGTCATCGGCACTGGTTTCGTTCGCCATGCCCTGTAACAGCCGCAGCTATTTTGCAGGGCAAAGAAAGAAAGGTGACGAAGAGCATCGCATGCTGGACATGACCAAGCCTATCCATCCTGGCTTGTTTTTGTATTTATATCCACAGCAGCTTCAGCGACACTCATCAACAGACGTGATATTCTCTCGACTCGACTAGTCCCAGGGCGGCAGTGGATAAGCGATGACCAGTATCATTGGCGCGAGGATGGGCCTGGATCGACTGCAAGAAGGTCCAGACGAGCTGGCCACAGCTTGATCCCCTGGCTTAGCTAGGTAGTAGGTGCATGCTTCCCCAGGTCAATCCGTTAACCTAAATTAGCTCTATCTAGATAGCATAGCTCTTATCTGTGGGCCGGTGGGTCTACTCAATGCTATGTACTACTGCAATACAAAGTCAAATCAAATTAAGATACTCGTAGACACTCGTACTCCGTACACCGTCACGCCAAGCTGACATTGGCGCTGACGGGCGCCACAAAATACTCCCAGTCGTTCAGAGAGCCGTCTCTGTCGGTCTGCTCCTCCAGATGGAGATCGCGCATCCGCCAGACCTTGCGGATCACCGCGCGCGTCTTCGACACGTTGGACACCGACGAGGCGGACATGGCGTCCAGCGCTGCCAGGATGAGAGGTCGGCCGTAAACCGGTTTGCCCGTTTCGTCGTCGACGAAGATCTCGTCGTTCAGCGGGTCCAGCTCAGTTCCAGTGACGAACAGCGCAAAACTAAGACCAGCAACAACTCCCATCCGGAGAAACTCAGACACGCCCTGGAGAATCCGACGGACATGCTCGACCACGAGCGGCGTGGACGGCGAGGCATTATACAGGGCACAGTGAAGGTAGAGAACGGCCGCCAGCCTTTTTAGTTCGGCCGCTTTGGCAAGCTGATCGTCGACGCTCTCGTCGACTGGCGGGGGAAGGGGATTCCAGATCGCTCTCAAGAGCCGCAGCCTGCCTGGCGAACTGCGCCACCGCTAATGGGTCGCCGTTCTTCGGCCTCTTGCGGGCTGAGATCGGTGATGCAGCACATAATCCTTGCCAGCCCCGGACTGACAGCCCATCCAAGCGTCCACTTCGATTTGGGGCTCAAGGTTCTCCCAGTAATCACTGCCAAACAACGGCACATCCCCGCACGCAGTCCGGCCCATGACATCCTGAAAAGCGAAAAAGCGCTCGGCGAAAGAGGTCAGCGGATGGGATGCAGACTGACCAGAGGGAAAGCTCAGCTGCCGGCGTCGACGAATTATCTCATGGCTCCCTCGCAGATGGATCACCCAGCGGCGGTCGCAGTTGTCGTTAATTTCGTAGAGGCACATAAACATCATCATGACCAGGATGTGGGGATCGCAGACGAGCTGTGCCACGCTCCTGGAGGCCACGGCTCTTCGGAGTGAGGCCAAGACATTTCCCTTGAGTCTGACGGCGGACTGCGACCACGAACGCATCGGTTCTGCTCCGATGGCAGGCCGCGAGTGCCGGGACGGACTGGAGAATATCGCTCGACCCGCCCGTTGTGACGAGCGGGACGATGTGCGTTGCAAACGGGGATGGAACCACTCTGGCGGGAGTTGTCAGAGGCGCCAATCTCTGCAGATAGTAGTCCAACAGATGCATGTCTGCCGTTCCAGAAAGACTGGGGAACATCGAAGGCTCTGTCCACAGAAGAACATCATCAGCCGTAGGGGAAGGCGACGCGACGCTGACTTCATCGCTCCTCTCCGCAACGTCGTCCTCGACGCCCCCGTCCTCGAAGTCCCTGACCGAGGTGTTGAGGAAGTGGTGCGGGCCGATCGTTGGCAAAGGACGCCATTCCACGGCATCATGCGATATATCCCGCAACGATGGCTCGTCCCTGGCATCTCCACGCTTGCTCCAGACGCCTTGACGGCCAAAGGCGAGGCCCCGACGGACGTAGTCGACCTCCCATTTCAGCTGGAAGCCGGTGTCGCACACCAAGCCTCGCCTTGTGCAGTTGTGGCAGCTGGGCTTGTTCTCGTCGCAGCGGACCTTGCGCCTGCGACACGTCTTGCAGCCGGTTTCGCGCACGAGTCTTGGTGGGGGCGGCGTCGGATGACTTTCGACGAGGCATAGGACAATCTCGTGGGCATCTTCATTCGTCCACCTCGTCCATCTGGTCGAAGGAACACTGACGGGGATGCGAGCTCTGGTCGGGGCGATATATTTGTGGGGAAGCCAACCTGCTGGCGCTGATAAGCCTCGGCTGGACCTTCTCGATGGTAACAGAACACGCGGCCACGTCTCCGCTTGCTTGGACCTTTTAGCAGAACAGTTATCGAAACTAGGATGATAAGATTAAAAATCAAACGATTCTGGGGAGTTTCTGTTTTTCTATAAAGATCTCTTCCCAGAATCTCTTCCCAAAGAGAGAACCCTTGTAGCATCGCTACTGGTCCGTCACAACTGAGAACATGGCACCAGAGCTTCGGAAGGAATCTTCCATTCTCATTGTTGTAGGAGGCGCCTGGGGCTGCTCGACTGCTCTCCATCTAGCGCGGCGTGGATACAGAAGAGTGACCGTCTTGGATGCGTATCCAATTCCCTCGCCCATTTCGGCTGGCAACGACATCAATAAAATTGTCGAGCAAGGTCCAAGCAATCATTCCCTTTCCCATTTCATCCGCCCACTGACGAGAATCCCGTCAAGGATCGTTTACAGAGGGCGACGACGAAGCAGCTGTGGCCACCGCGCAGCTGGCCGCAGCGGCGGACGGCTGGAACAACGACCCCGTGTTCGCCCCATACTACCATGATACAGGCTATATTGTCGCGGCCTCGTCCTCATCCGCTCTCGAGCATCTGAAGAACCGCGAGATTCGTCATCACGCGTCCTCATTTACGCCTCTCAATACGGCGGAAGAGTTCCGCGCAACCATGCCCAGAGGGGGTCTTGACGGGCGAGTTCACAGGTTGGCGAGGATTCTACAAGAAAAGCGATGCAGGATGGGTTCACGCACGAAAAACGCTTGTATCGGCATACAAGGAGGCTTCCCGTCTAGGGGTGAATTTCATTACAGGCAGTCCCCAGGGAGAGGTGACGGGTCTGGTGTACTCTGAATCGGACGTCTTGGGAGCGAGGACTGCGGACGGTCGTCGAGCATCGCGCGGATCGAACGATTCTCGCAGTCGGGGCGACAGCACCTCAGCTGTTTGACTTCGAGAAACCAACTGCGTCCGACGGCGTGGACGTTGGCACATATTCCCATGACGGCCGAAGAAGCGCAGCTCTACAAAGACCTGCCGGTGCTGTTCAACATCGAAAAAGGCTTCTTCATGGAGCCCGATGAGGACCGGCACGAGCTCAAGATCTGCGACGAACATCCGGGATACTGCAACTGGGTCCCGCCGTCCAGCTCGTCCGGCTCTTCTCTCCCGCAGTCGATTCCGGTAGCCAAACACCAGATCCCGATCCCCGCTGCAGAGCGGGTTCGTGACTTCCTGCGTGATACTATGCCCCATCTTGCAGATCGACCCTTCGTCCATGCACGGGTCTGCTGGTGCGCGGACACTCCCAACCGCGCCTTTCTCATAACCCCCCATCCCTCCTACGAGTCGCTCATCCTGGCCGCTGGCGATTCTGGGCACGGATTCATGCACGTGCCATCGATCGGGGGATTCATTGTCGACTGCATGGAAGGGACTCTGGACAAGAAATTCAGGCGGTCGTGGAGGTGGCGGCCTGAGACGGCCCAGGGATTCTGGGGAGACCAGACATTGGGCCGATTTGGGGCTGGGAATCAGATGCTGGATTTGAAGGAGACGGAGACCATTGGGTGGACGAACTTCCCTCCCAGGGAAGAGAAGGCCTGAATCTGATGAATCCAGGCTCGTTGGCACCTGCTGGGCACATGCCCTCCAGCCACACTTTGGCGACCATTCTGCAGATTGCCAGATAGGTTAGAGCATATTGAGAACCGCCTCGAGGACGCTCGTAGATACCTGCGTAATGCAGAAACCGATAGCGGTAACGAAGGCGAGCTAGTGCGGTGCTGGTTTGATGATCACATTTTATCTCGGCAATGCAGATTATCTGATTAATCCACCGCGTGCGCCACACCTGCTGGGGACACGCTAATCACGATAATCAAAGGCTCGCGCCTGGCGGTGGCTTGGTTGGCCTGAGCAACGGCTCACGACTAGATCGCCTTAGTATTCTGGCATCTGAGAACAACTGCCATCAGTCGACGCAATAGCAGTAGTTGTGGAGGATTCACACTGATGTCAAAGGCGTGGCCCCCGAGAAGTGGAACAGTCAGGAACGCGCCCTCGCCAAGATGGTGTGCGGAGACTGACCTGCCGCTGGTCGCTCTTGGCCTCGTCTAGACAAGCGATCGGCTTGTTTTCCCTGTGTCATCAGTCTGACTGTGCTGGTGACTGGCCCAGTCTGATGTCCTCTGCGCGGCTTCCCCGTTGCAACCTGCAACCCTGGAGGAATAATACCGACAGTACTATTGTTGATGCCTAAATGTGGGCATCTGCTGATGCTTTGATTATCAACACTACCAGCCACAGCGCATAACCCACGTTTCAGTCGGCATTCGGCAAGCAAAGCAGGACGCCTGGGGCTGTGGCTGAGCGAGATACTGGGGACGCCAGGCCTGCCAGCATCCACTTCGGCCATTACTAGTCGCCAATCGATAATTATTAGCACACGACCCTGGCTGTGATCGTGGCTGCTCGTTAGTAGTTACTTGTTGGCCTCTGGAATTCGCCTGACATCCGCTGCAGCTGGGGCATGCCAGCGCAGCACAGGCACCACCCGCCAAGCCCGACAGGACTGCTGTACCGTTTCAGAACAAAGACTGAGAGACGCCATTGAGACTCGGCGCAGATCAGTCTGATCAATCAGATCAGCAGTGGCGTATTGCAGCGGCTTGACAAATAATTGCCCGTCCTGCCACACTTGTGCCTGTTTAGTTCTCTTCAAGCTTTGGTTCGACGATCCACCGCCCGCAGTGCCCCTTTTCTAATAAAGAAGCCCCAGATCCACCACGACGTGGGATATTATTCCATTATTATTGTTGTTGTTCCTCCTCCTGTTTGTTTTCCTTCCCATTTGCGCATCACCTCAATTTGTTTGCGCGCCCGCATCGACAATTCCCACACCATGCGTAAGTCTCCCGGCCTGACTTCTTGCCCAAAAACTGTTTCAATTCCCCTGGCTGATAACTTCGGCCTGTTGCAGACAAAGTTCGCCATGCGGCCAGGTCCCTGGCCTGGTACGACCGGGAAGAAGAAGAACAAGCGGGTTGCAACCCCAATCCGTTCAAGAAGTTCAGAGTCCGTCCACCGCGTCGTCGCACGAGCCAGTTGGAGCGTGGTCTGCTGGAGGGCTCAGCAGAGGAACGGCAACCCTTGGAGGATGCAAAGAATACTGAAGTCGTTCCACCGCCATCCTCGAGCAGCGACCAGACCAGGGCCGTCGATGGCAGCATCGAGGAGAGAGACGCGCCTTCGCAGACGACTCCAAATGAGCCGATCAGCACCTCCCAAGACGCCCGCCATTCGGTCGAGGGCGGACCTCGCCAGAGGAAAAAGACGTCCGACACCCCGCCTCAAAACGACGACGAGGAGGAGCAAAAGTCCGTCTCAGACAAGCAGAAATTCACCGTCGTCGGCCAGCTGAAAGCGACCATCTTCAATTCGTGGATCAATGTCCTTTTGGTCGCTGCGCCCATTGGAAGTACGCTTCACCGTGGTATTCTCTGCATCACCGTGTGACTGACATTTCTATCAGTTATCGTCAATTGTCTGCATCTGGATCCCAGGGCCATCTTCGTGACCAATTTTATCGCCATCATGTAAGATTGATCGCACCTCTATCCTAGACCAGGCTGACAACCCTACTCAGACCCCTTGCTGCAATGTTGAGTTACGCAACTGAGGAAATCGCCCTACGGTGGGTTTTATCTGTTTCCAGTGTGTTCACCTCCAGTGCTGACCAAATGACAGAACTGGGGAGACACTCGGCGGCCTGTTGAACGCAACGTTTGGCAATGCTGTTGAATTGATCGTTGCCATCCTGGCCCTCGTGGATAATCAGGTGGTCATCGTGCAGACCTCTCTCATTGGGAGTATGTTGTCGAACCTGCTCCTGGTGATGGGCATGTGCTTCTTCTTTGGCGGAGTGAACCGAATGGAACAGAAATTCAACGTGGTCGTCGCTCAGACGGCGTCGAGTCTGCTCGCGCTGGCTGTCGGCAGTCTGATTATTCCCACTGCCTTTCACCAGTGGTCTGGCGGTATGTGACCTGACCTGAAGATGTGGAGGGTTTCATCGTCCAACTAACGTCTTTGTAGCTGGCACAAATGGAATTGCGCCTTTGTCTCGAGGTACCAGCGTGATCTTGTTGGTGGTGTATGGCGCCTATCTGTTCTTCCAGCTCAAGTCACACGTGGAGATCTACAACAAACCAAGCGAGAAGACGGAGAAGAGAGGCAACAAAAAGTCCGAGGGCGATGCTAGCAAAGGCCTGGCCCAGATTGGCATGATGGGCGCCAGCCTCGCCGGCAAGAACGAGCATGTCCAGATGGTCGAGCCGGAGGAAGAAACGGAAGAACCTCAGCTCCACATCGCGGTCGCTGTCTTCACTCTTGCGGCGTCAACTGCGCTCGTCGCAGTTTGCGCGGAGTTCATGGTAGGGACAGTGCCGTCCCGAGACTCTGACCCGAGCCAGGCTAACAGATCCGTCAGGTCGATTCGATCGATAAAATCACCGAGGATGGCGGGTTATCCAAGACGTTTGTCGGTTTAGTGCTGCTTCCCATTGTGGGCAATGCAGCGGAGCATGCGACGGCCGTTACGGTTGCAGTGAAGGACAAGATGGATCTGGCCATCGGGGTGGCCGTGGGATCCAGCATGCAAATTGCGCTGTTGGTTCTCCCACTGACCGTGGTGATCGGATGGATTATCGGTGAGTCTTGCCACCATCGTTACTCTGGTTGACTGTTGCTGACTGATTGATGCCGTGCAGGCAACGCTGACATGGTATGCTCCGTGAGAAGCAGAGGAACTTGGATGCAGGCTAACCGTGACAGACGCTGTACTTTGATGGATTCCAAATCACCGTGCTCTTCGTTTCGGTGCTCCTGGTCAGTTGTCTCCTTTCTCGTTTTCTCTCTGTCGACTAACGAGCTGGGCAGGTCAACTATCTGATCGCCGATGGCAAGTCACACTGGCTGGAGGGCGTTTTGCTGATGACGCTGTACATCATCATTGCGGTGGCATCATGGTAAGCAAGATGAAGCAGCTCTGCGGCATTCGATTCGATAATCACTAACGGGTTTGCAGGTTTTATCCATCCAATGCGAAAACCAGCTGATCTGCATCACGATCGTTTAAACTTTTCTTATTTCTCTTATTTTCTTGCTTCCTGATCGGCCAGAGGCTGAAGATGATACCCTGAAAGAGTATTTCCAGGCTTCACCTTGAGGATTTCGGTTCATATGATTCTGAGGTGTATTATTATGATTGTGCTTTGGTTTGGATTTATTCTATTTCCTTGTGTGCTTTTTCTCGGCGATCGAATCTGTTTCCTTTGTGGGAGATTACCTTCATCTGTGGGACCGGTGAGACCTACTGGTTAGAGTCATCTCGGTATCTTATGTACGCAGCTATTCTATTGAAATAAGCTTAGGATATGGTATGAAGTAGGCCATGTGCATGTACTCCGTATACTGTGTGACAGATACTGGCTAGACTCTTACTGTGATAGCCACGTGACCCAACTCGGTCCCTTGGCAGTTGACAGAGTTCCTGTGCATTCCGCATGGATATGAGACTACCCGATGCGGGTTTTCCTCCGGCGTAGGAGCCACTACTGGTCGAAAAGTCGGGCCGAGCGACGGCGAAGGATTAGTAAAAGGAATAGGTAATAATGAAAGGCCGGAGCGAGATGACATGCATTCGAAGGCCGGGGCTAGCCATGCTGCCATTACCGACAGAGACGGGAACGAGGAACGCGGGCGAGGTCACGCCTAAACGCGGGGTAAGAGGTGACCTCCAGTGCCACGGTGAGGAAAAGGAACGTTACAAGAGCGGTCCATCAGAATGCCACAGCGGAACGAGCTGGCAAACAAACAAAGTACAGTACTCCGTACAGACTGGATTATCTATCTCTCCACATTCTTCGCGTGTAAGGAGTTCTCATTCTCGTTCTAGTCTCGTCTCCACTGGAGTAAATAATAAAAAAAAATTACTATCCGTACGATGCTATTACTACCCCATGTCACGGTATCCTGTCGACCCGGAAAAACCGTCAGTGTCAGTCAGTCACGACTCACCTCGGTACGAACGGTACGGGACGGGACATCGGTATCTCCCGGGGTTGCCGTTCCTAAGCCTGGCCTGCCCTGAGTGAGAGTGAGTTGATTGAATCATTATTCCCCCCCCCCCCCCACCGGGAAATAATAATATCTGGCGTAGTAACCTCGTGTGCACCTTCCCGCGCACAGTACAGGACACTACGGAGTACTCAGGAGGCTTTTTTTTTTCTGTCGTTGTCGCTCCCGATATCCCGCGATGGCTTGACTCTCTCTCTCTCTCTTTTTTTGTTTCTTTTTTTTAAACTCTATCTAGTTCAGGACGGACAGGCCACATGATAAATGAATAAATAATTGCCCGTCCATGCAGGAGGTAAAGTCACCACCAATCGCCAGGGTGCTATTATTCAGCTGCCCCGGACAGGGTCTGTTGCAGTGCTCTCACCAGCTGAGTTTGCACTTTGCGGGGTTTAGCCCGATCAAACCTACCTACCTAACCTACTCCGTGCTCGAGAATGTGGGAGCGATGGGGATTGTGGAGAGCGTGGAGCGAGCTACTGGTGGAAAATACTGCTAATGAAGCTGCTATTCCTGCCCAAGGCCCACGCATCGGGACGGCAGTGCCCGAGGAAGCCTCATTGGAGGCAAAGAATACCTAGCGGGCGAGGGGGCCGATGGTGCGTGCACACCGGGCTGCCAGCATTCCAGCTCTCGGCCCCGAGGGTATGCGCAGCCGTGCTTGCATATCGGGATGCAGGAGGGTAGAGACTATTAGAGAGTCGACTGACTGAGTGACAGACAGACTGACCGACTGATCAGTCTGTCACTCTGTCTCGTCTTGGTTCTCCCGGGATACGGAACGGCTGGGGGAATTCTCGGCTGTGGTCCGTAATCCGACGCCGGTGCTCATCCGCCACGATGATTTATTTATTGTTAGATGGTGATTCGCGAGGAATCGTCTCATCCGCCAGAATACAGAGTACTCCGTACTTCTTATGATTCTTATACAGTTGTGGCTAGGTTCCTGGCAGACCGCCGGTCTGACTCGGGATTGTGACGCAAAGTCGCAGCGAGAGCAGGCTGATCGTCTGGGGGATTGTCGTTTGCCAGGCTCAATCAGCGAGTGGGACACTACCTGACGGACTCCGGAGCCCTCCGGCCAGGGCTTCGGGCTGCAAGTTGCAACCACCGCACGCCGTGTACGGTGACTGGATGTCACGGTGTGCACGGAGTGCGTTCGCAGTACAGTACACCGGCACCGATGTCGAGGACGAGGATGCGCGTCTCCGTCGGACCACGGGAGACAAGCTACAGCACGGTAGGACAGGCCCCTGGCCGATGCCACCTGCGAGGGCTGGTACTCGGTATAACTGGTCGATCTAGAACGGGTGCAAGTTATTTTCTGAGCTGGTGGGGTCGCTTGACTTTGCAGAATGCAATCCAGCATCGTAGTAGTTGTAGTAGTTGTAGTAGTTTTCTACAACCCAGATACCAGTATCTACTACTACTCTGAATGTTCCACAGCTGGAGGGGGTCCATCCCGACCGTCTCCTCCGTCGAACTCCGTCGGTAGAAAAGTGTTCGGGCTCTCGTCGGCTGCAGTGCGACCGCCACAAATACAATCCATCCTCTGGCCAAAGGCTAAGCCGGACCGGCCCATTGCTTTGCTTGCTATTCCCCAGAAATCGCCCCCGGCAGCCCGGCCTGACTGGCTGCTATGCTGCGCCCCGCGAAACACTAAGCGTAGGCGCCCCAACGACCATCCTGTGCTCCTCCCGGGGTGCAGCAGAGGGGCAGCATCTCTCCTAACCAGTCTTTTCTGCCAGCCGATCCGGCATTCGCTCGGTCTGTTCTCTCTCTCTCTTTTTCTTCTCTCGTCTGATTTTTCCCTCAGTCTTGTCCCTCCTGTGTGCTGCCTGCCTCTCGGGACCGTTGCCGATCGTCGTGCCTCTCCCCTCCGTCTCCACTTGCTCTCCGGCGTCGTCCTTGCTTCTCCTCGCCTCGAAGACTCAACTCAGCAGGAAGAAAAAGAAGAGAGAAACAAAGGGGGAGATACGAAAGGGGAAAAAAAAAGAAAACAAAGCAAAAAAGAGCAAAAAAAACAAGGAGAGAGAAATACGAGAATATCCTCCCTCCGCTGCTTGCCGACCGCACGCCGAGACTGCTGGCGCCTTTGTTCCCAGCCGGCTCGCCCGGCTGTCTTGTCATTTACCGGGGATTCGGGCATCTCTCCGCCCCATCTGAGATCTGTCGTTCTTCTCCAGAATCCTCCGCACTGTTCGCGTCGCTGCGTGTTTTTCCCTCGTCCTCCTCCCGCCGCTGGTGCGTGCTGACCTTCTCCCCAGTCTCAGTCTTCGGGACGCCCTTTCTTTTTCCTCACCTTTCTGCGCTCCTCCAGCTGGCTGCCCGCTGGCGAGCTCGCGTGCAGTCTCTCCTCGTTTGGATGCTTCCCCGGATCCACCTCCCCCGGGCTCTGCAACTTAGTTGGTCGCCGTGAATGTCCCGGCGGCGGGCTTCACTGCAGCTGCTTCCCTCCGCGATTCAATAACAACACGACACCATCCCTTTGTCTTCTAACAATGCGCTCCAGCATTGCCTGCTCCCGCTGTCGCCGGAGCAAAATCAAATGCGTCAATGCCGGTATTGACACCACCTGCCGCGCCTGCGAGTCGTCCGGCCGCGTCTGTGTCTATCCCCAGCCCGCCATCGGCGCTGGCGGTGCGAAACGAGACATCGCGGCCACCGTCGACGGCGACGATCGAAACGGTGACTGGGACAGTCCCAAGCGACAACGCTCCAGAAAGGCCGTGGGCCCCTCCGGGCCTGCTGCCAAGGATGCCAGCAAGACCAACGTCGACGTCCTCGACTCGTCCATCCTCACCGTCAAGGTCTGGGAGACCTTGTTCGAGCTGTTCCAATCCCACTTCGCTACCGTCCTCCCCTTCCTCCATCCCACCACCTTCTTGAATCAGATCCGCCAACTGTCCGCGTCCCAGCCCGATGGCCAGCCCGAGCAGCCCTCGCAGAGCCCCGGTCCCAAGCCGGAACCCTCGCCCTTGATCCTGCTGGGCGTGCTGGCCCTGACCGCCCGCTTCCACCCGCAGCTGGTCGCCTACCACTCGCCGTCCGCGCCCAACAATCCCTCGAACCCGCTGGTGGCCTCCGAGTTCTACGCGTCCGCCCTGCGGAACCGTCTCGCCGGCCCCGACGGCATGGGCCTGGCCGTGCCCGACCTGACGCGCGTGCAGGCCCTGTTGATGCTGGCGTTGCACGAATGGGGCATGTGCCGGGGCAAGAGCGCCTGGGTCTACGTGGGCATGGCCATCCGGCTCTCACAGGCCATGGGTCTCCCCTTCGAACTGGAGAACGAGACGGCCCGCTCGCCCGCCCTGAAGGTCGAAGCCGATCATTTCGGGCTCCCGCGCCGAAAGGAGTCGCGCGAGCAGAATTCCGACGACGTGATTCTCCAGGAGACCAAGCGACGCACCTTCTGGGCCTGCTTCATCATGGACCGCTGTCTGAGCAGCGGCAAGTATCGGCCGCGCATGATCAAGGTGCGTGACCTGGCCATCCAGCTGCCGAGCGACAATGCCTTTGCGTTTGGCGAACGGGTCCGGACGTCCCGACTCAGCGACAGCTCGGTCCGTCGACCGCCCAGTTTCGACTCTCCGCAGGGGGTGCAGATCCCGAGCTTACGGCAGAGCATCGGCGGTTATGGCGATGAAAAGCTCCGGTCGAATGGCTCCACTGACACCAAAGCCTGGTCGCCCGTTGCCCAACGACACGATTCGGTCGATCATGATATCGACCGCTGGGAAGTGGGTGCCGAAGAGTGTGTCTTGAGCCGCGTGATCCGAATCATTCGCATCTGGGGGAGTATTGCCAAGTGGGCCTGCGCCGGAGGCAGACGGTAAGTCACTCAAGTCCAACTAGATGATAGATATGGCAGGGTAAGAATCCATGTGCTGATAACAGGCCAGAAATGAATCGTACGCCCCTTGGCAGCCAGAGTCCCGTTTTGCCCAGCTGCGAAGTAAGCTCGCCGAGTTCCAGGACAATCTGCCCCGGAATCTCCAGTACTCCCAACGGAATACGGACACGCACATCATGTACAAGCACTCGTTGGCATCCTACACCGTGATGCATGTCGTCTACTTCCTCTCGGTGATCGTCCTGCACCGCGCTTACATTCCGTTCCTCCCGCTTCGATGCAGCGAGCCGGTCGGCCCTCTGGACGAGCCCACGTTCCCACGGGACAAGTACTCCTTGCCCGACGGCTTCTGGCGGGACAGCGCCAAGGAGCTGTTCCGGGCTGCCAGGCAGATGATGGATCTGGTCATCACCTGCCAGGAGCGCGGAGTGCTGGTGGAAACTCCCCTGGTCGGGTTCGCCATCTACAACGCCGTCTTTATTGGCATCTATGCCGCCCACTTCAGCCACATGGATACGGAGGGATATCTGTCGTCCAAACCACCCGCCACCGCCGATGCCCCGGCCGGGCCGGGTGCCACCCAGCCACAGGCGCAGGCTCGCCGGGCGCTGGACATTCTGCGGGACATGCGACAGCGACTCACCATGGCGGCGGGCTGGTTCCGGACGCTGAACCGCCTCCACAGCTACTTTGTCAAGGTCAAGAAGGACTTTCGGGCCAACGCGCGCAAATCCGAGACGATGCCCCCGGCAGACGGCGTGGACGGTCAGGTCAACGGCATCCGGCCGGTGCGCGAGGGTGGCATGGGCGGCGGGCTGGACGAATTCAAACTGCTGGAGAAACTGTTCCTAGAATTCGGCAACATCGAGGACCAGGTGCCGGAGGGGGCGGCGTTGGACGACGATGGATCTGGACCGGCAGCGCCCTTCTCCGCCAGCGACGCGGGCAGCAACGCCGTCAAAAGCGAGTCGGGCGACGGCGGTGACTCGCAAGTGGACGGGGTTGGCCAACAACATCAACGACGGGAATCGTGGGTGCCTGTCAACCACAACAACAACAACAACAATAACAGCAACAGCAGCAACAACAGCAACAGCAACATGGCAGTGCCAGACGGCGAACGGGCGAGGCCAGAGGTTGACCGGCGGCCCAGCCTACCCCTGCCAACGTCTCGGTCAATACCGGGCCAGTCTCCATACCCATTGCCATCGCTCCAGCATCATTCGACCGCCTCGCCAAGCCTACCATCACTTGCATCGCCGGGGGCGTTCACAGCACCGACATCGACCAGCCAACAACCGCCTCCGTCACAGTTCATGGCCAACTCGGCCAACCGTCTGCAGCCGCTCAATTCATGGGTGACCTCGCACCAGCAGGCGCCGCCGCCTCCGTACTCGCAGTCACTGCCACCAATCAGTAGCGCGACGGCGCAACATGGCTTTGGTGGGATGCTGCCGCCCCCGGGCTCTGTCGCGTATTCTACTAACTCACCCGCAGCGCTGGGGGTAGATGGCGCCGAGTACTCGATGTGGACGGCGAGTCTGGGCGGGGACGACGTCGTGGCCTTCCTAGACGGCGGCAGCTGCGAGCAATGGCCCAGCATTACGAACAGCGAGGTGGGCTATCCGACGGGGTGGCTGAGCGCAGTGTGGAGTGATCTATGACAGTCGTTTCTTTCTTGTCTTTATTTCTTTCTTTCCTTCATTTCATTTCATTACCCCCTTTTTCTCTTATAATGTATTATTATTCTTCTTCTTCTACCTCTTCATGATGTGTCTCGAGTTAACTGACTGACTGACTTGACGCCTTGTACTACTTACTACTTACTTATGGATGGACATTGTTTGTTTGTTTCCTTATTTGTTTGTTTGTTCTGCTATTATTTTATTATGATGAGAATATGTATGCACCTCCACCAGCGGCAGCAGTAGCAGCAGCAGCAGCACTGACTGACTGACTGACTGACCGACTGGATGGAGGATGGATGGATGACAGACAGACAGACAGACAGTGACACGAAAAGAACGAACATGATATGGATAGGATAGGGTAGGACAGACATTATTATTTTATTATCCTATTTCATTACTATTATCAAATCCAAATCAAAAGTGATCTTTTTTTTTTCTTCCAGCACCTTTCCCTTTTTTTTCCCCCCCCTTTCAGTATTCCTACATATCTATCTATCTAATCCATATCTACCCTGCTTAGAAAGTAGTATGTAAATGTGTGCTGTAATACATACAATATAGGTAGGTAGGTAGGTAGGTAGGTATAACCTAGTGAATTACCTGTCTTTCTCAATTCAATTCTATTCAATTAAAAATAAATAAATTACGCCCAGATTAGTTTATTATGATTATGATTACTTAGTTGATGATAGTTTCTTTATTTACGTCGTCGTCGTCGTCGTCGTCTTTTTCTGCTCAGTAATAGATTAGATTGAGACTATCTTACTCGCTCATAGATCATAGATCGGATATCTTGGGACGCCGGAAATCATGCCCAAATATCAATCTACCTACTACCTTGGCTAGACTAGACGTCCCTTTCTTCCACCTGCCCGCTCTGATTCTTCCCATGTGGACGTGAAACCTCGTCAAGCGTCTCCGCTGCTGTCGCCACGATCATAAAAAAGACTGATCGTAAAGAAAAGGAATTGATCATAACAGGATCGATCGAACAAGTACAAACCTGGGAAATAGTGCACAAAATCATACGTCATGAAACCAACCAAAACGTAAACGTAGCAGCACAGCAGCAGAGAAGCTCGACATGCCTCATCCACATGAAAAGATCAGAGTTCAGACGTATCCGTAGACTGCAGACGCATTTACCACTCAAATCTCAACGGTACGGCCCTGGGCCTGGCATTCCGCCTCTGCCATCACCCCCGTTGGCTTGCGCAAACATCTCCAGCAGATGTCTGGATGACGGCGGTGCTCCCGATGGGCCTGAGTTACCACCTCCCCCAAAATTGCCTTGTCCACCATGCGGGAAATTCATCATCGCCTCGGGATTATGCGGCATTGGCGGATACCCCGACATAGGAGGTCCGCTCATGTTCATGTATCCTGGCGGAGGCATCATCCCCGGCGGAGCTCCAAAGTTCCCACCCGAGTTGTTACCACTCATGCCGCGCGGGAACGGCGGCCGCTCACTCACCGGTCCCATGTTTCCTCCGTGCATTGGCATCGGCCCAGACACAAAGTTGGGATTCATCCCCCGTGACGGCGTTGGAATCCCTGGTGGCGGTGCCAACGGGCTTGGTCCTCCTCCACCTTGCTGTGGCTGCAACTGTTGCGCTCCCCATCCTGGCGGTGGTGGCATCTGGTCGAAACCCGGAGGTCGTTGAAGTCCCATCGGTGGTTGTCCATGGCCCTGAGGACCTCTTCCGCCTGCCTGTCCACCTGGGAATCCCATTTCATCAAAGTATCCCATCGGAGGCCCGTTGGCGGCGGCGGATCGTCTCATTTGCTCGTTGAGCTCGGCATCCGGTCTCTGCATATTCGCGATTGCAGGATCATCCAAGAAGTTCGGATTCTTTGTTGGCGCCTTTTGAATCCCCTGGGACCGTTGGAGCAGATCCGGCACATTCAGAATACCAGGTGTGTGCCCTGCCGTACTCTGCGGCTGCGTGGTTCCATACTGTTGCTGCTGTTGCTGCTGATTAGGCCCAGGAGATATCTTGACTTGTTGCATGAGACGAAGAAGGTTTTCTCGGTCTCGAAGCTGAGCTTGCGCGTCTCGCGGGGAGTTCACGCCTGCTGCACCATCCTGACCTGACATGTACTCATGCTGCCTGGTTGGGGACGAGAATGCTGCCGGTCGGGTCGGTTCAGGTTGTGCCAAGGGTGGTGGGCGAGGCTGCTGAGAACTGTCCACATGAGGAGTCGTGTTGCGTGATTTGCTATTTTCAAGCATCTGCAGGATGCGCTGGAAGCCTTCCTGATCAGCATCAGTCGCGGTTGAACGATCAGGTTGAGCTTTGCTTTCAGCCTCCTTGTTCGTACTATCCGGAGGAGGGCTGAAGAAGCCCGCGAAGCGAGATGACTTCCCAGGCTTAGTGATAGAAGCGGAATCTCTTTTGTTCGAATCAGTAGAGCCAGGAGTCGCCGCGTCTTGAGACGGTTTGGTCTCTCCCAGCAATCCAAAAAACTTATCCAGGCCGGAATCCATCTGCAAAGCGGTGCTGTGGAACAACTCCCCGTCGAGATGTTTCGCCTCCGCCTTCTGCGCAGTTGGAGTTGCCTGTTCGGGTACAGTTTCTTTCTTCTCCTCTGTTTGTGGTCTGGCTTTCATACTCTCCTTCCACCGTTGGAATTCTTCCTGGGTGTGAGCCTGCTTCGTGTCATCTCGTTCCATGGAATCCATCCATTCAGGCTCCTGTTCAAACCTCGCCCCCCGGTTCCAATCACGATCAGGAGCTTGTCGGTCGCGGCGCCACTCTCTGTTCCGTATCGATGGTTTCTCTTCTTCATTATTCTCTGCAGCATCCGAAGCGCCTTCATCCCGGAACCAACTCTGTTCGTATCTAGCTCTTCCCTGAGCATCCCGTCTCGAATAACGACTGTCCTTATCTCTGACACCTTTGTCATAGCCAGAGTCGTGTTGTTGATCACGATCTCTGTCTTTAACATCCCACCGGTCTGGTTCTCCATTACGTCTTGGTCTTCGGTCCTGTTCATCCTGGCCAAAGTTGCGACGCGGTCGCCCATGGTTCCAGTCATCTCGGTCGCCTCGACGGCCGTTTGCTCCTCCAAATCTGTTATCGCGTCTGTCAAATTCCTTGTCCCCCGCTTCTCGATCCTTGAAGAACTTTTCTCGAATGTTGTAACGATCACTCTTGGTATCGTCCGAATCATTGAACCGTGAGGACCGCTCGGGGGAGTCGACCGATCCCTTCCCAAAGAAGCGTGAAGCCGACGCAAAGGAGGTCTTGGGGGGGCCTAGTATGATATCCTCTAAACGAAGTGGAAGATAGTTTTAGCAGCTGATATCAAGACAGAAAGAAAGAGGCCAAAAAGGGAACCTGGTGCGGAGATTTTTTTAATACCTGAATTTGAGTTTCGAGAATTGTGTCGTGTCTCAAACAAGTTCGGTCGCCGGTTTGTAGCGTCATTCTGGTTGTTATCTCTAGCGTTTGCATTTTTTCGCTGTGTGGATGGGTCGGGGGCCGGTCTGGAGTAATGCGATCAGAGAGCGTCAGCGTGAGGGCGCAACGACAACAACTTGACGAAGAGTAGGCACTTACCCCATCCATTCTTCAATTGGAGGTAGTTTATCGGGCTTGGTAACTAGTGGCGAGTTGCGTAGCCATAGCAGTTCCTCGATCTGATAGCGACGTGCCATCGGGAGGACGGTTGCGTGTGTTGCAGGTAGGTGGTGGTAGGTCGTGAGGGCTCGATTAGAGAGATCTCATGGTAAAGAAGGTAGAAGGCGAAGGAGGACGAGGCGAAGGAGGATCAGCAGCAAGGAGAGGATCCGATCCAGGGAGCGAGGACGAGACGGTGCCGCGGCCCTTGTTTTCTTTTTCTGGATAGACGTTGCTGAGCAAGCTGGCGCTCTCTCTCTCGCTCGTGGCAAATTTCCGCTCGACTTGGAATTTGGTCGTCAGCTGACAAAAGGAGGAGTCAAAAGGCGGTCAAAGTGTGCAGTGGCCAGATTCGCAAATATGTCCAGATGGATCGGTCCAGATATTAATGGGATCGTGCTGGGAGCCAGCAAGGATGGTTGGGAGAGAAAGGCGAGTTCTGCACGGTGGAGAGGCGTGCGCAGCCAGACACGTTCGCTGCTGGTCGGGCCTTTGCCTGCGCTGCCTAAAGGGGAAAGTTCACCTGTCGGCGCCTCCCGGGCTTTATTTATTTATTTTCACGGCGTGACACCTCAACGCTGGCTCCACAAACACAGCACCCAGCCAGATAATACTCTCATTGCTCATTAATCAGTGGAGTTGCATCACGCTGTGGCCACGATATCTACACTGTTTTCTCTAATCGACATTTGGACTCCTCCCGCATTATAGATTACAGAGTACTCCACAACAGTCACCGCCTATGCTACTTTTCTAACTTCCTATCTGTTCTACGAGGCGTGGGATGGATGCGCCACTCCACTTGTCAACACGTTCGTGGTCACTCGAGTCGTAGATGGCCCTGGTCAGCTCCGACATGATGGCACTATGGGGATCAGAACCCGCCATCTGGCCCCGGACCCAGCTGATAGCCGCCGCCCTCGTAATGAGTGTTGACCCTCCTCCCACCTGAGTGGCGCGGAAAACAAGATGCAAGATCTTCTTCTTCAGCGATGCGTTTAGCGTCGGCGAGTTGTAGAGGGAGAGGATCCGCTCGAAGACGTTGGCTCGACGGTAGATGTCCAAATCCTGTTCCTGAATCAGTCCTGTGCTGCTGAGGACTACAAGCCTCCAGATGAGTAGATATGCCTACCTGGGCAGTCCGAAGGCCCCCCACGAACAGATCCAGAAGCCAGGTGATCTCGTCAACATAGCCGTCATCGTACTCGGGTTCGTTCAACAGGATCTTGTCGATCCAGTAAGATGGGATCTTCCCGATCTCCCAGGACGGTCGTTTCTGAAGGAACTTGTTGACCTTTCCATACATCTTGTGCAGCGGATCAGTTAAGACCATCAAGCAGCTCGCAGCGCATTCACCGGCAATCCAGGGAAGCGGCGTTTGAAATCCCACATGGTTCGCCGTCTCCAGGAACTCGCCCGATAAGATATAGATTGATCGCCACTCAGAGTAATTTGATTCCTGCCTCTGTTAGAAGGTACTGGGATATAGCAAGCTTGGACCCGGGATGCATACCTTGAGTTTAGCCATGAAACGGGAAACGCCCACAAACGCCTGCCGCCTGACCTCCTCGTGCTCAGAGCACAGGCAGAGCATCAAGTCCCTGATGCGGCCTTTCTCGATCGCCACATCGATTTCATCATGTTCCCATTTGTGTAGTGCCGCGTGGTTCTTGTCTTCGGTGGGAAGATCACCAAACATGCCCGAAAGATCTGCAGACACTGCACGTTTGGCCTGTTTCTGGTCCTGATTGAGATCGGCATCGACCATTCTTTCGTCTCCGCTGTCCATCTCCGCGGTGTTCTTCAAAGTCTTCTTGAAAATAGACCTAGTCTTCTTTGACTCTGTTACATCAATTAGGTGACTGCGCACCGATTTTAGCGCTTTTTCATCTTCGCCTGCCCGTTTCATCTCTCCGAGAAAGATCGCAATCCACGAAGCGATAGACTGTTCTCTCGATGCGTCGTTGGCTTTGAGGGCGAAGGACCATTGCTCGTTTACAGCGGCGACCAGGGAACTAAGCGATCCTGGCTTGTGATCTAGCAGTGAAGAAACGAGGTCTTGGTAGTGAACCGGTTTCTTCACTACACGGCAGACGCAGTTGTCAACGAACTCCAACTGCGCCGAAATTGATTCCGACGTGGAGGCTTCCAGACTGGAGATCAGAGCATTGAACGAGGCTTCAGCACTTATTAGAACAGAATTCTCTACGAGTACGCTTTGTAGCAGTACACGAATTGGCTGCAGAGACGTCTTGTCGGCTGCCTGCACTAGGACCTTCAAAATTGAAGTAAAGGCAGAGTATTGCAGAGATGCTGGTTTCATGTTAGCTACAAGCAAACTCGGCCAGGACCCAGGTAGAGACCCTTACCAGGTTGTTGCCACCAACGCATGGACGCTGAAACGTGAGCAATTTTCAAAATGTTCTGCAACAGGCTCAACAGCAGTTCGGAATCGTCCGCTGAAAGCTCGGGCTTTTCTAGCTGATGTAGGACGTCTACTAGAATCAACGTCACATCGAAATTCTCTTCAAAGGCGATGGATGGCACTGTTTCGTAGAACATGCACAATAGTTCCATAACTGCATCTCGCTGTTGCAGGTCCTCCTTGGGTGTTCGTTTAAATGTGAGAACCGCGTCTTTCATCGGAGGACAGCGACGGCAGAATTCCGCGATTAGCTTGGCCGAGGCTTGATTCCAGAATGATTGACCAATTCCATGATCAGAGTTAAATATTTTCAGGACAGCCTGGAGCTTCCGGAAAGCGACCGTCAGAATGCGGACCGCAAAAAGAGTAATGACGTTGTCCGTATTCTGGTTCAGACACCTTGATAGGGTTTTCTGAGTGAGAGGACGGGGCAGAATGTTTTCTATGACGACCGAAATCGGTGGCGGCATGGCAGGAACTTTCTCTTTCCAGCCGCAGTTGGCTGGAACGGGAAGCTGGACAGTGGAGAATAAGAACGCAGATTCGCCCAGCCAGGATGGTGTAGCCTTTGGATCAGAGGTGAACATGGTTCGCTTGGTAAAGAAGTCCGCAACAAGTTCCGGGGCGGCCTTGAAGATCGTCAATAGAAGCTCGGTTTGAAGCGTATCAGACTCCGGACGGAGTACTTGGATGAGCGACGACAGAGTCCCATTGCGCACTGGAACACTGTCCCTGTATTTGTCCAGATAGACGGGAGAATCCAACCCCAGTTCAATAGAGCCATCATCCTCGGTTAACAAGGCATCCGGATCGCTCCCCGGAGGATACCAACCAGTCTGGGGCAATAGAACTCCCATTTCTGAAACCGTGCAGACCTTGGTCAGAAGCTTGTGTATCTCCTTTGCAATAGACAAGGTTTCTGACTCTGGCGCATCAGAGTCCCTGTCGTATCCATACAGGGTTACGAGTCGCTCCAAGTTCCATCGATTGAAGAACTTCGTCTTTGTGCTCCGAGGAAGAGAAGAGTCTTGGGCGATGTCTCGATCAATCGCTTTGATAATGTCAAGAACAATGTCACGAGAATCTCGTCTGATATGCTCCAGGAACGCTCTGATGACTTTGTGCTGTTCAACGAACTCTCTCTTGGCCGCAGCATGCTGAAACCTAAAATTCGCAAGGACGTAGCGCTGAGTATTGCGTCTCAGCGTGGACTTTCTTGACTCGTCCAAGGCCTCCTCAGTCTGCGCCTTGTTCGGGGTGAGAAAGACGTCAAGACGCTTAAAAGTGATTTCGCGCTTTGAATAGACGAGTCGCGCCACGGCCCCGCCATCAAAGCTCACAATCTCCGTGAGAAGACGAATGCAGGGTGATATCAGATGCTCTTTGGCCTTGGTAGAGGTCAAACTGCGATTGAAAAGCTTCAGCTGATCCTTTTGCAACAGATACTTGCACAGTGCAATGCCGAAGTCGCGAAAGTCCAGCTGAGTCGATATCGTCTTTAGAAATATCGCAAGTATAGAAGGAACCACCACAAGCAGACTTTCATGATTGCTAGTGTCTGCAAAGCTCCAAGTCTGGATCAAGTCCGGGAAACAAATGGCCTCGGACCCATCAGACACTTTTTTGATTTGCGTGTCACAGTAGGCCTTGAGAATTCGTAATTTCTTGGCCTTCTCAGTTTCCTTCTCCGACTGATTGATTGATGTAAGAAACTCCTTAAACTTATTTATACCTTTTTTCCCCTTGTCAGATGGCGATACTGTCTAAACGCTAGCTGTATCTTTTAGATAGCACTTACCATCTCTGGTTGCAGATGGAGCGTCCTGTCGGAAAATGAGAAGATCCCGGAGCTGGGTATGGGACGAAATACCGGTCTCATTTTCGGCGACAGAGGAAGAAGGCGCCTCTGACGAGATTTTCCTTCTCTTCGCTCGATGGCCTTGTGCATCAGAGGACGCCATTTTGGCTGTTGTGATGGAGCGAGCGTGGAGAGGAAGTCAAGATGGATGTAGATGCGAGAGTTGAGAGATGTTCGCCATCAGATTTTTGCAGCCTGTGATTGGTCGCCAGATTGCGCCTGTCATGTACCAGCATGCAGTACGTACTTTGAAAATCAAACACTACGAGGAAAGGGGATTTTCTTTTTTAAAAAAATGATTGCATCCCGTCAACAGTGTATTCAGAGATAATGTGTTGGTTCTTTATTTTTGAAATTCCAACTCTTCCTCTATGCCCATTGAGCTGACCTAAAAAAAAACTCCGGCGGAAAGATTATTACTAACATTGCTCTGCAGTCGCAAAAAGACATCTTTATCCATGATCCTACTATTTCTAGACAATATTTTTTATAAAAGAATAATTTCTCCTTAGAAAGCATCTATCGATCATGACTTGGATTAGAACACTAATAAGATTCCGAATGTTAATAAAAAAGATTTTCTTTTTTTCCCATGTTTTCCCAGGTCTCAGGTTCCGCGCGGACTCGACCGGGAGTGGCGAAATTCCATCTTTTTTTTTCAAGAGATTTAACGTATTTAATATATTTTACTATTAAAAGAATGCTTGTAAATAACGCAAAAGGAAGAAAAAGTGAGAAAGAACTAGCTCGTCGAAGGAGGAATTGGAAGCAGACAGAACTATGTTCATGTGCTGAGCAACATGATCTACCGCTGCCAGTCCATTTCCACGATTCTAAATATTATACTACAAGACGGTCATCCCGCATCAATTAAGAATCAATGGTTTTGAATGAATCCCATGTCCAAACGCCAAGCACTGTACAATGCCGTTTGTTCCAACGAAGAGCAGTTAACTGGAAGGCTGAAGGAAAAAGAAAAAGAAGAAAAGGAGAGCCAGCTCGGAGACTTCCAGAGAACAGTAAGTAGAGACGACCCATAACAAATTCGACCATTCGGGTATACGGTAAAGATGACAACTTCCTTTAACCCCATGTTCCTCCTCCTCCACCACGTCCTTGGCGTCTCTGCGCGGATAGACGCCAATCATCCTCGCCAGCGTAGCGGTTATGCAACGGTTGAATGCGCTCTGCCTTCTTGCGCTTAGAAAGTCGGTCTGTTGGTGCCACTTTGTAGAACGTTGGTGCTGCTTCGACAAGCCACTAATAGAAGGGTTAGCCACTGAATTCCAACGGAGT